TATTTTATACTTTAATAACTGTCAACCCAACTGCCCTTGAATGGGCTCCATGCCCAACCCCATGTACATCTTTTTCTTTTTCGCTCTTCATCTTGTGGCTGTGTGGTCCTCTGTGTCTGTCTGTCTATGCACATATCTATTACAGGGACGTTGTTTTTTAGAATATCCGACATTTTAAGCCTTGCGTTTAAGTCAATAAAAACTTTGAGCATCTTTCACTACTTAACATTTGATTTTTTGGATTGGATGTTTCGAGTTTATAACGTAGGAGTTGTGTTACGATGAATCACTCACATGCCATAAATATGGAGCCCACGTCTTATCAGCGGCCTAAAATTTATCACACATGCGTAGATGATTGACGTTAGCAAAATTCTTAATGTATTTAAAAGGTGCCTTGTGATAACCAAAAGTCTCACATCATTGCATTTTATGTTGGCTAATATGAAGTCTCAACATATGTAAATTCTGCAACAGATTAAATCTCTATATTACTAATTGAATTTGAATTCAATGTTACAATGTTATACAAGTGAGGTGAAAAATAAATTGCTAAATGTAAACTTGTATGTATTTTACTAATTAATTTTGGGTTAGATGTTACAATTTTAACAAGTGAAGGGCCCATTTGATAACCATTTCAATTTTAGTTTTTAGTTTTTAGTTTTTGTGTTAGAGTATAGAGGAAAATGAGAGTGATGATGAGATTTAGAGAGAGGATGAGAGGGAGGAGTAACAAAAGTGAAAACAAAATATTGAAAGTGAAAGCAATTTAAAATAGATTTCAGTTTTTGTTTTCATTTTTGTTACTCCTCCCAACCATTCTCTCCTCTTATCTTTACTCTCAATCTCATCTCCATTCTCATTTTCACTCTCACTTCCATTCTCCCTATTTTCCCTCTATACTCTAGCACAAAAAAATGAAAACTAAAAAGAAAAATTGAAATGCATATCAAACGGCCCAAAGTGAAGTGGGTGGAAAAGGGTTAAGAGGAAACTTCTCCAATATCTTCAACCACAAGAAACTTTAGACCCACATCTTAGCAAACAAAAAGAAAAAGCCCCACACATAAGAAAATTAAAAATTGAATTTGACAACATGCAATTTGCTAGGAGGACCCTAAAGGATGCTTGTGTCTTGTAACAAACAACTATCCATGTGTTGTTTGGCCTAAATCAGTGTGGCCAACTGTATTTGCACCATCAAACCTCCTACAGTTCATTGCAAGTAATGGACAAGTTTGAGAAGAGAACAGAACACAGAACAAGGGGTCCATTTACTTGAATGCTGAGGGCCATGCAAAATTGTAATGCGCCACAACTTCTATCATGCGCCAAGTTCAAAATTTTCATCAGACTGACATATCCATAACTGTTTTTGGTTTCATTTACCACACACGTATGGCTCTATCTATTAATTAGATTCATCCTTTTGGTGTGCTCGTGAGTTCCTGTGAATTGAATTGAATTTGCGTAGCTCAACAATCATGCAAACTCCTATCTTTCAATTCCTTTGTACTTTTTGTGCTTTGATTTTCATTAGATGTTTTACTATACTGCAAATACGTAAGTGTGAAAAATCGCTAGTTTGCTACTATAGATGAGAAGTCTTTTTCCTTACACCTCAACAAAAATAGAGGAAATCTCCGAGAGATTTATGGGTGCTTTAAGAGATTCCGAAGTTCTTTTAATGGCATTTTCACTTATCAGTAATGGGTATAAGAAGAAATGGAATTATGTCAATTCTTGGCTTCTCCACATTTTTTAGAACATAACCTTAAAATCATTAACGCAATAGCCTCAAAATCAGGAATTGGATCAACTAGAGGACTCAGTTAATATAATTCCAATTCTTTACTTCCCTTATTTCTAAGTTTTCCGATTTTTTACTTCCCTCGGTTCAAATAAGTAAACATACCACTAAGAGTTATCCAGAAAAATTAGAGGTTATAACTTATAAATGAATGCATGGACTTTTAAACCCATGTTAGATTATGATAAAGAAAAAGTCGTTGGTGGGGAGCCAGGAAGAAGTTGGAGAAGGGCCTCTATCTGCAGAGAAAAGTAGCAGTGAGAAGCATAGATAAAGATATAAGCTTAGGATAATGTCGCAGAGCAGAGGGGAGATGGTAATCATGACTTGCAAGATGGTCCCTTTAAAACTTTTCCACCTTATTAGCAATGAGAGGGACCCCTAATCCACTTGTTGGTTGAGATCTTGGCTTTAAAGTTTTAGCATCCATATATATTATTACACATATAGGCTCGAGTCACACAGCTTATGTACATCAAATTACCAAAGCGGAAGACTTTTTGGGATCATTATTAAGCTATCAAATCTTAAGAATCTACGATCTTAATGCATGAAATTACCCATTTAAGCATTTAAAAGTCGCTGAAGCTGCATTGTCGTTGAAAATATTTATTATCATGATTATGAAGTTGGAAAATAGATGGTTCTATAAATTTCCTCTCTTAATTTCTTTTTCTCCTTCAAATGTATAGCGAGCGACAATGCACTTCCCATCAACTTTGGGAATCTTATAATTATTAGGTAAACCTAATTCAACAACCTCTCTCGCATGTTGTAGGTACTGAAAATATTAATGAACCCAAAGCTAATCATTAAACTTTTTGTATTATTATTTATTATCACGAGCTAATTATTATAGCAACAAGATTTTCATCAAAGACAAATTAGTTCCCTTCTAAAACACAAATAAAATCAAGGATTCATCTCACATTCAAACAACCTAAACCTTTCACAATATTGATAATCCAAGAAAAAGATTATGAGTCTATTTGGGAGGGTTAAAAGTGCTTTCTGACGATGTTTGGTACAAAATGTTCGAAGTGCTTCTAGGTCGTAGAAGCACTTTCTGGAGAAGCACTTGGATTTCTTATGAAAATTTCGACATCTTTATAATAAAAGCACTTTTATGAGAAACGCTTATGAGCATAAGTGCTTCTTAAAAAAACAGTCTCAAACAAGCTGCATGTTTTTTTTTTTTTTTGTAATTTGGGTCTAAGATATAAATTTAGCTAACTTCTTTGCACTTATGTCTTCAGATGTTTGATCAGTCATGATGAAGAAGATTTCATTGTAGTCTCACTTTTATCTGTGTATCATGTGACAACATATCATATAAAAAGTGCACAGTGTGATTAGCCATTTGGTTAGCTTGTGGAAATAAAAAGATCATATAAAGACAACTTAATCTTTTTTGGTTTCATTTTACTTTATCTTTATGTTCCTATTGCCATAATTGTCATAAAAAATTTGTAGGACATGGACTGGGCTGAATCCCAACAAAGGAGATGGGAAATGATGAGACTAAGTGCACACATGAGAGACAACAGAAGGTGGCCATGTGAAGGTGGTATCCACAAACATATGAAAGGTAGAAAAACTGGAAGCAAACCACCCCTTACAAAGTTACAAGGCATAATTAAAGAGACACCATCTAAGATACTTTCCAAGAAGGTCCCTTGGTTTGGTTTGCTCCCCTGGAAGCACCTCAAGCTGTCTCTCTCTTTCTGTTTCTCTCTCAAACAGTTTTTTTTTTTCTTTCATTTTTTAGAACCGATCTATAAAATTACAACGAGAATGCCCTAAGAATCCCTATCGTACATGAATTTTAAAGAAACCGATAACGAAAAATTTGCAAACCAAACGATTATGTGGATGAGCTAAAAAATAGTGTTATATGTAAAAAGAGGTCTAGTTCAAGTATCAAATGCCAAAGGGAAAAAGATGAAAATAAAAAATACGAAAGTGAAAACACAAATAAATAAAGAAAATCACGTGCTAAGACAGCCCAAAGTGAACAGGTATCACGTGACGAAAGAAATCTCAAGTGAGGGTGGGGAGTGGGGACCTTTGAGTGGGCCTACGAACTCATGAATCTTTTTTTTTCTTCGTCAGATAATAATTAACAAACGCATGAAATCCAATTTAGAAACAGAATCTGACTTTATTTAAACGGAGCATCTGGGAGACAAAAGAACCAAGAGAGTTTGGCAACGTGTGTTTGGTTACTGAGAAAATCAATACGCAAATATTGGGCCATAACTCTTCAAGCACTACTCACTCAACTACCAATTTTTTAGATTTCAACCAATTTTGGGTGCAAGTAATGCGAATGGGGCCTATATGACACAAACTGTTGGGCATAAGTTAGTTGCAAGAATCAAAACAAAAATGAGAAGTAGATGAGAATGTAAATGTGAGTTAGACCAATTAGTTACGGTAGTGTGTTCGTCTCTCTGCACCCAAATTTAAAATTTATTTCTCGTAAATTAAAGTAATTAAGAATATCTCAATGTTCCGGAAAAAAAAACCATATAGTGTATTTAGTGGGTGGATTGAGTAAAATTTTTACTTTTATTTTATTTTGTGTGTGGATGGAACAAGAAGTAGATGGGTAGGACGAGTTAAGGGGGGAGACAATACCACCGTTTAAAATATAAAATAAACAAATAATAGCAATGGGAAAAAGTAATGGCCCAAAATTTAGAAGCCCAAAATTCAAGTGGGCTTATGGAAGTGGAAGTTTTTTTTTTTTTTTTTTTTTTTTTTTTTTTTTGGTTTCTGTCTGAAGATGGAAAGTTTAGTTCAAAGTGTTTGGGGTGGATTATTGCAATGGGCTTGGAATGAGCTCAGAAATTTCACCCATTTTTCTTTGCCATATATGTAAATTGTTATACACTTTACCAATCCTAAGAATAAAAGTTTATACAGTTATTCTCTCATCACATTATTATCGTGTAGACGTTATTGTAAACAAGGAGGAAAGCAAAGTGGGGTAGTAGAAAATACATGGTATCCGTACGATAATAACGTCCAGATGTCTGTATAGGAGAATTTCTAAAAGTTTATATGGTTTGCTTTGTTTTTTTTTGTTTTTGTTTTTTTTTATGGTTTTCATAAATGTTGCATTAGAAATAAAAAGCTCAAACCAAAGTGGAAAACAAGCCCCACCCTTATTTTTGATGGTTAATTACATAACTGCAGAATGCTGGCTGATGAAGCACCCAAGTAGCAATTTCTTTGGTGTAATTCTAGTAGAACGAAACTTTGCAGCTGTCTCCTCCACCCTGAGGCATTGCTCTCTTTGTTTGGCTTCAATGAAAGCTCTTCTTTCGTCTCCTGCCTATGTCATGGCTCTACTAGAGAGCCTTGTCTACACTAAGACTTAGTAGCTATATATGCTAGATTAGTTGATGATGAGGGGCTCTTATAATATTGAGAAAATACTACTGAATTATGAGCAACCAACCTTCAACGTTACTTGACAAAGCCAATCTCCTTGGTGTTGTTGCGTAAGCACTGCCGGCAGAACATCAAGCCGTACTTTCGAATCAACCCATGATGATTTCCACATGCTCGGCAAGTGTGGGAATGACGATGAGACTTCAAAACATTCAAGTGTTGCTGTGGCCCAACTTAGATGGATGAGCTTCCTCCTACCAACCTCTGACAATAACGCTCATGAATACGAAGTGCAGGAGATTCGTGAAATAATTTTGCACAGTAATAACATTCGAACAAATAACCAAAAGCATTGTCAGCCCCCAACTGCTCATCCAAATCAAAATCTTTGTCAGACCCCACATTAGCCTCAACAGACCACCTGTCGGACTCGAACCCCTCGTCCAAACCTGAATTGTAATGTGAGCCTAAATCTAACATCACAACGGCTAAATGAAGGATGTGAGGGTTGGAGTTAGGGTTTAGGAGAAAATCAGAAGAAATTGGGTTTTAACTAAAAAAATCACACACATTCCCCTCAGGATCTCTGTCACATGCAAACAAAGCTAAAAACTTAGAAATCAAAATCAGAAAGGAAAACACAAAATTAAATATAAACAAAACATAGCTATTCACCTGCAACAGCAACATCAACCTCATATTCATCTTCTTCATCAACCTCAGATACATCTTCTTCATCAATCTCAGATTCATCTTCTTCTACCCATGGCTCAAAGATACAACAGCAAGGACGCACTTGCAGTCAGCAAAAACAAACAATCTCCTCACAACAAAGTACATCAACCACCTTATCAACCACATGTAATGCTAACCGAGAATTATAAAGCTGATCCACACTTAAGAAACCCTCAACCAACAAATCTATCATCCAATTAGGCACATAAAAAAGCAGCTCAATTGTACACATATGACCATACCCCATCATCCCTAGTACCACCTCCAAACCATGCAACCCTTCAAGCCCCCAATCAGGCACTTCCAACTCCTCATCCAAATCAAAAGCATTGTCAACCTTTAACTGCTCATCCTAATCAAAATCATTGTCAGACCCCACATTAGCCTCAATAGACCACCTGTCTGACCCGGACCCCTCGTCCAAACCTGAACCATAATCTGAGCCTGAATCTGACATCACAGCGGCTGAAAAGAAGGATGTGAGGGTTGTGATTAGGGTTTATGAGAAAATCAGAAGAAATTGGGTTTTAACTAAAAAAATCACAAACATTCCCCTCAGGATCTCTGCCACATGCAAACAAAGCTAAAAACTCAGAAATCAAAATAAGAAAGGAAAGCACAAAATTAAATAATAAAAAACATAGCTATTCACTTGCAAAAGCAATATCAACCTCACACTAAGACTAAGTAACAAAAAGGATGGAAAATGAGTGGGACGTACACAAAGGGAGGAGGTAAGAAGTAGGGCTTCCTATGTAGCTGTACATAGATATATTTTGTCATCATTAAACACAAAAATATAATACAGATCAACAAAATAGACGTGCCCAATACAGAGTTTATGTCAACAAAAACAATCGGTAAGTCAATAAGCGAACTTAGATAATATTCCATGAACATAAAATCAACATAAACAAAAATCAAAATAAACAGAAAATCAAAAAACAACATAATCAGAAAATAAAAAAACTGTTTGACTCCACCAACATAAATAGAAAATCAAAAATAAAAAATAAATCTGCAAAGGAGAAGAAATAAATCGAAGATGAATTGAGAGAGAGATATGAACAGTACCTGGGAGCGAGAGACAAAGAGAGCTATACAAGATGAAGAGGTCGGGGGCAGCTGAGTATGAATGAGAGGGGTTCGTGTCTTTTGACAGAGGCAGGGTTAAGTTTTAAGATCACTCCCAAATTTTCAAAATATTTTAGTTTTAACTCCTAGACTATCGGGCCGTATCTGTAAAGGCAACATCCCAGAAAACGTATAGGTCCAGTCCGGTTGGGCCCAGTCCGACTTAAACGACGTCGTTTATATATGGGCTCAAACAACTGTCTAAACTAGTCTGACTTTAAACGATGTCGTTCATATATGGGCTCAAACTGCCATCTAAGTGCATTGGTTGTGCCTGCACCTACACAAGTCTTGCCATCCATCATTTAAAACATAAAAAAAATTAACAAATAATAAAATGGCAAAGATAACCCAAAATAAAGTTTAAAAGAAAGTAAAGAAAAAACTCACGCATGGAGGCGTCCTTGGGCCAGGGCTACCAGGGCTATAACCCAGGCCCCACAACCTCTCCTAAAGACTTCACAGAGGTTCGCAATTGACTAAACATAAAAGTTTTCACATATTTCTTTTTGCTAAACAAAAAGCTAAGTTACAAGAACATCCAATCTATATCAATAAATACAAAAAATGTCATATCATCATAGCAAAAGTCACTGTAATGAGCCATTAGTTACCCAACTTTGTTAAGAAACAAACAAAACACGTCATCAATAATCACCATTTTGAGGCCTTCACATAAAAAAGTCTCCTCCTGATCGGTAATGACATCATTCAATGTCAATGCCAAATCATGATCATTGTAATCGTGCCACGGGAACAGCTTTGCCTATTTCACAACAACATATCATAAATTAACACCATAATTTGCAAAAAATGACAACAAAGGTTGCATATCCTCAAAGGTAAAAATGAAACGATGACACAATCACATGTTGATGGTAAAAAGAAAGGAAAACAATACATGATGAGGGGTAAAAATGACAACTAGAAGAGTATTTAATGAGGGTTGGATTTTAACAACCTTGCCTATTTTATAGCAACATAACATAGATTAACAACATAACAATATGCAAAAACGAATAACATAGGTTGCAAATCACATGTTGATGGTAAAAACAATATATCCTCAAAGGTAAAAAAAAATGATGACACAATCATATGTTAATGGTAAAAAGAAAAGAAAACAATACATGATGATGGGTAAAAATGACAACTAGAAGAGTGAGTAGCTATAATATTTAATGAAGGTTCGATTTTAACATCCTTGCATATTTTACATCAACATAACATAGATTAACAACATAACAATGTGCAAAGACGAACAACATAGGTTGCAAATCATATGTTGATGGTAAAAAAAACATATCCTCAAAGGTAAAAAAGAAATGATGACATAATCACATGTTGATCGTAAAAAAAACATATCCTCAATAAGCGAATTTAGATAATATTCCATGAACATAAAATCAACATAAACAAAAATCAAAATAAACAAAAAATCAAAAAACAACATAAACGGAAAATAAAAAAACTGTTTGACTCCACCAACATAAATAGAAAATCAAAAATAAAAAATAAATCTGCAAAGGAGAAGACATAAATCGAAGATGAATTAAGATAGAGATGTGAACAGTACCTGGGAGCGAGAGACAGAGAGAGCTATACGAGATGACACACATGACCATTATAAAACAATTAATGGCTTTGATGACATGCATAACCCCTTTTTAGTATTATATGTTTATTTGAACTTGGGTACAATTAAGTTGGGTGAAAATTACCATAAGTTATTTAATCTATTGATGACAATTTTGACATTATGATTTTAAATCTCACCCCATTTTGCCATCTTACCCAAATTAATCTTGGTACATAAATCTAGAAACAAAAATTTAAACTTGCAATTTGATAGGCCACAAATTACTCTGTGTACATTAATCTAGGGAAATAAAATAAAACACAGAAATATCTATTGAAGTAACATTTAATTACTTAAACAAACCAACACCAACGCGAACCCTAATTCAGTCCATTCCACTCCATTATAAAACAATTAATGCAATACTAAACAACAATGGGAAACTCGCAATTTGAAATCCCACAAATTACTATGAGTGCATTAATCTAGAGAAAAAATAAAAAAAAAAAAAAAAAAAAAAAAAAAAAAAAAAACAACCAAGAAGGGGATATAATATTCAAAATCCCGTTCTTATTCGGGAAATGATTTACCAAATACTTTTTGAAGTTTGTAATCAAAGCAATTATATCTCGTGCATTTATGGAAAGATTTGAACCATATATAATAAATTAATAGATTAAAAAGGGGTCCAATCCAAGCCATAAAATAATCCCAATTTTTTTTGTTCTTTTTTGCCAATTTTAATATGAACTGCATCAATTAAATCCCTAAAAATAAGTCATACATGAAATAAGCCAATTTATATGCCTCGTATAAAGAAACTCACAATAACACACGATAAGATTATTTATTCTATTTAAATCTTAACCCAAAAAAAAAAAGAAATAAAAAACGGAGATCCCACATATGCATTCTCTTGGCCGCTTTCACCCAAGACCACTATCATAAATTTATATCGACTCCTTACAAGACAGGCACCATTGATGTGTATTTTTGGGTGCATTGCATTTGCATACATACCCGATGAAAGAAGAAAAAAGCTTGATGACAAGAGTGAAAAGTGAATATCTCTTGGTGTAAGTGAAACTTCAAAGGCTTATAAAGGAGGAACTTGTGGAACAAAGGAAGATCGAGGATAAGAAGAAGCAGAAAGCAACTAAGGAGAAGCAGAAAGAAGACTATGAACGTCATATCTAAATGGACTGTGAGGACCGAAGGAGTACAATGACCACTACACAGAATCGAACAAGCACCCTTACCAGTGATGTATTTGGAGCTTCACTGGAACTTGTGACTTTAAGTTCATTGTTGTGAGTTGGAACAACATTTGACGAAACTTGTGGTTAGTTATCTGTGGATGGTTTAGTTGCAGTTAGAAAGTTTAAGGGAGGGTGTTAAGAGTCGTGAAGTCAAGTTTAATTAAGTTTTTAATTAAATAAATCGATGTGGTAACTAAGAGTCCAAGTCAAGTAGGATTCCTAATTTATAAGAGTTGTGGTTGAGGTTGTTTACCACAATTAGAAGTGTTCTGTTGTTTTAGTTTAGTTCCACAAAATCTACACAAGTTGAGTTAGTGTTTAACGTGCAGCCTATATTAATTCTATTTAAGTTGTAATCTTGTTTCATTTAGTAATGAGTATTTTTAGTGCAATATAACAACTAGATTGTCACGCCCCGGACCCGGGGGTAGGTGGAAATCCCGTGCCCGGTGCGTGAGAAAATAAAATAAAAAGATATCGAAACATGAGTTTAAAATAAACTTCTCTTATAAAAATACATCCAAAATCTTACAACTTTACAATAAATAAAGCTCTAACACTCTCATCTAATTCAGCCTCAACTGGTTTATTCCTTTTCTTGCCCACTAATTCATCTGAAAATTTAAACAAGGTGAAGGATGAGCAACCACAGCTCAGTAGGGACATGAGACCTTACCACAGTAGATTGATATAACTAAATTAAGTGACAAGCAATCACACAGCCAAATATCACATTAATAATAATAATAATAATAATAATAATAATACATGAATGCTCTTCAATTCTAATCCCGTTAATTCATATAATTGGACAAGCAGACCTGCACGTCTCATACCATGCTTATACCACTTGGTCCCGAATGCCCATTTATATGAACTAACACCCATTTCAATCATCCCATAATTCCCCTTTTGTTAGTCATCTTGTCTAACTCCCTTTCGCCAGTCCCGAATCACCCAATAAAAACCATGTGCACTGTGGGATCCTTGAGACCTGGTACCTGTCAAGAGTTAGACTTAACTACACAAAAGATTATATCTATTACCCTCTTTTCCATTATTATCTTCTCCACCCAACAACTCCAACCAATTACCATGATATGATATAATTATGCCAACATTATTCAAATAGTTCACAATACGTAAATATAGTATATCAAGAACATTATACAATATCCCGCATAATATAGAGCTCACGAAATTTAATTAGATCAATCCCTGTAAAGGCTCCCAAGAAATCCCTACCTCGTTTCCAAAGCATTGCTCCAATTTAAGAAAATACAAGCTAAGCCTTATATCTCTTCCAAGAATTTCACCATCTCTCTCTCTCTCTCTCTCTCTCTCTCTCTCTCTTTATTCTTCTCTTCATACAAACTTACAAATGCTGAAATGAGAATGAAAAACAAAGGAATGGAATGGTCTATATATAGTGTGGTGAAGACGGTAGCTACAGTACATGATAATATCAAATTTATGTAAGAACTTAATCTCCAAGTAATATATCAATAAGGTCTTGCATTCCAAGTCAACAATAGATAAGAAAGAATTGCTAGGAAGACACGTTGTGGTGATTAAATCCTATTCTAATTTCTTCATGGTGAGTTGACAAGGCTACTAGCATGCCTTGTTGACACCTAACTACCCATTCAAGAATCCATTTACTAATGAAGCCACCTATTAGCAAAAGATATATATAATATACATATATATATATATATAAGTTATACACATATATATAATAGAATATGATATTTATGTAATACACACATATACAATATAATATAATATATAAATTAAATGGCAAAATATTAATTCTTCAAATTATATATACTATTATAAATACGGGGTTTCACAAACTAGATACATGAGAACAAATATTGCATATAATAATTTTCTTTTGAACCTTAGAGCCCTCATAGCCATTTGAGCACTCCGAGCTATCTAAGTCATCTGAGCCATCTAAGTCCTTGGGCCAAGCACAGCCCATGTCGGGTCTTAGTTTGGCACGGTTATTGGCTCAATTTTCTAATCCTGATAGGGCCCATGTTGTTGTGGTGTGCCTAGCACGGCCAGACAATAATCGTGTTTGGGCCATGTCGTGCCCCATTTAAACGGGTAAGGCTCGTGACGTGTTCATTTGATGAAGTTTGAAACCGTTGAGCTTTCTCACATTTACAGGGAAAGGAATGTTGTTGCAGACTGTTTGGCAAATTGGAGCCATAATATGGATTTAGGGGTCTCATTTTTTGATGATGCTCTAGAGTGGATTAGTTCCTGCTTACTGATGATTTGCTGAGAGCTGCTAAGCCTCGGATGATCTGTGTTGTCTAGCTTTTGTTGTCTGGGGTTTATCCCCATTTCTTCACCAAATAAAAAAATAAAAAATTCCAACCCATGCGAGATTAATCCAATGGACACTGTTTAATTGTGGGACCTCAATGTTCTTTGAAATTCTTGAGGAACATGCTGGAGAGGCCCAATAAGTTATTGGTCTTCATCAATTTCTCTATATTTCAACTTTATTGTCTTCTTGTTTGTTATGATGGCTTGAATTATGGCCTAAACTTTGCTCTTAACGATGCTAGAGTTTGTTTTTTTTTCGAGGTAAAGAAACAAAAAAGTTCCCATTTCCTTCCTAAAAATGTATGTCAGTATGTTTTTCACTTTTAACTCTAGTAAAAGCTAAAACTAAAAGCTCCGAAGATTTTGTACATTTTTTTTTTTTTTTTTTTTTTTTTTTTAACTTTAACTTTTTAAATTTTTGCGGTGTGTTAATTACATTATCTTAAACAGAACACTAATAAATATTAACCGACCACAAAATGCTTTGGACATGGAGGGCTGAATCTGCCTAGTCGGACCAAAACACACATGCTCAATCAGCCACAAACATTGACCACCATGCTCAGTAAAAGCTGCTTTTCCAAATACTTTAGCCTATGAGAATCTGCCACGTGACACCTTCAATAACAACTACCTAACGGCTAATTGTTGGGGTGTTTAGGTTTTTTATTTTTTTTCGTTTTCATTTTTCAAATATTAGTTTAGCCTTTTTACCTTTTTTATATACTCTAAACCGTTTTTACTTGTTTATTCTTTTTGTGTTGCTTTTTTTATATACTCCAAGCCCCTTGAAATTTTTGTGTTGCTTTTCTTATGCTTTAATTTTTTTTTATCACAAATAAAAATAATAATAAACTAAAATAACAAATTTTGAATTTTAGCCCCTAACCCCTCACCACCACTAGAACCACAAAAAATTTGAGAGGCTAGATTTTGTTAATAGTATCATTTTGAAGGGCTGAAAAAACACCTTGCCCCTTGCCCCTTGCCCCTTGCATTAGACATGCTCTTACATACCTTGAAATTGTCAAGAGTTAATACAAGAAGGTTTATAATACAAGCGAGCGGTGCTTCTCCATTAGAGTGGTTCCACCGTTGCAGCCCAGCCCAAGGCTAGGGGGAAAAAAAAAAAAAAAAAAAAACTTTCCAGCGGAGCAGCCCAGGCCCGGGGGGGGTGTGGGACCCACCTCCTCGGGCTGGCCCGAAGGCAAGTCTTACCCGAGGTCCAAAACGAGCGCTACAGTATCTGCTACAGTAACGCTACAGTACTTCGCTGATTTGATTTTTTTTCCTGTTGCCACGTGGCGTCGTCTGGGCTCTCCGATCTGATTTTTTCCTCCAATCCAACGGCAGCCAATTTTTTTGCAATAAAATACTGGAAAAAATTCGGAAATTTTTTTTAAAAAATACCCAAAAATTAATGAATTTTTTTCTATAAATACCAGCCTTTTTTTTATAATTTATCTGAAATTTGAAATTGAAAATTTTATCCGATTATGAGATATGAATAGTATTGACACGTAGGAACCCGAAAATCTTATCCGAAAATATTATCAAAATTAATTATTGAGGTAAAAAAAATTGTGAATAAAATAAAAAAATGAATAGTAACTGCCCTTAGCAAGGGCAACAGGTGGAAACACAAAATTCAGATTTTGCAAGGGCAACCACTATTCACGTGAATAGTGGCTGCCCTAGCTCCCCCCTTGCCATGGCTAAGGGCAAATGGGTGGAGTTGCTCTTATGGAGCCCACTTTTGACCGTGTGTTTATATATCTCCTCTCTCTCTCTCTCTCTCTCTCTTTCTTTTTTCTTTCTCTCTCCGCCAGTTTTCTTCTTCTCTCTTCCAATCTCTGCAACTCAATCCCTCATCGCAATATCTGCAGCATAATAAGGATGTGGTTGTTGTAGAGCACAGTGACAACAGGAAATGCTGGTTTGTTGTGTGATTGCAGGAGCTGTGGTATGGACGAGTATGACTCTGTGGCTGGAGCTGTGGCTATTTTGCCTTGTTTTGTTGTCCTATAGCCAGAAGAGAGAAGAAGAAAAAAAAGAGAACAAAAAAACCAGACACAGACCCATTCGCTCCCCCTCCCCTGTCTGTTATTTTCTCCAGCATGACCTGATTGAAGAGAGCGACAATCAATCCAAGAATCCTGCTATCATAGGTCAACCTTCCATCACCATGACCTGATTGAAGAAACTAACCAGAACAGAGAAGAAAAAAATGACCCCATGACAAGAGGAAGAAGAAAACTGGCTGAGAGAGAAAAAAGAAAGAGAGGGAGAGAGGAGAGAGAAAGAAGAGAAAGAAAAAAGAAAAAGAGAGAGGAGAGATATGAACAGTTCAAATCATCGCACAATCAATAGTGGGACTTCGTAACGCATCCGTATTACAGGACTCCGTTATGGAGAAGCACCCTACAAGCGAGTAGAAATAACATATATATTCTAGTAAACATGACAAGTGGCTCTTATTTTTGTTAAAGGAAATTCTGAATTCAAATACAAAACAAAAATTAACATTTTTTTTATCATATACAATCCGACATGACACATAATCCCACAAAAATTTTAGTCAGTTCACAACAGTACTTGCCTAGAAGGAAGCTTTCCACGTGCGCTTTTGCAGCCGTTACACACAAGCACAAGAGCCAAAGGTTTCCAAGAAACCAAACAATTGTCGCTTGATTTCTTCATTTCAAGAAAGTACTTGTTTGCTTGTTTGAATTAAAACATGGGTCCAAGCCCATGGTATATCCCCCTCCTTTCCAATAATCCTATAGATATATATATATTTGCTCACCCTTTCTCTTTTGGCACCGAACTTGGAAAAAGCACAACAAAAACTCTACAAAAATGGATGTTTTTATTTCAGAAGAGTATGTTGAGAGGCGAAGGGTTGAGAGAAAGGCAGCTGCTGCTGGTGGAAATGGGAAAAGTTCAGGCATGGCGTCTGAATCTTCTGCGAAAAGGTCTGCTGAGGAGAAAAGAAGAAAAGCTCGGCCAAATCATAACCATGATGTTATGGTCTCTAGTGGACTGAGCGATGGCATTGTTTTTAGCTGCTTCTCAGCCTAATTTACTTAGATGATGAGATATTGTATATGTTTATGGTGTTTTGAAATTTTAATGTCTTATTAGCAGCTAGAAATTAACTTTTAGACCTTTTATTACTTGAGATATATGCCTCAACAAAATTAATCCAATCCAATGTGCATCGCCTTATAAATAGGGGAACATGTATCTTTGACACTCGTGCACAACATACTATGAGAAAGATGCAGAAATTATAAAGCTGAAGTTTATTTATGGACTTCTAAACCTCTTTCTTTTTTTTTTTTTTTTTTTTTTTTTTTTTTTTTTTTTAAATCAAGGTTAGGAGGTTCCAATTCCAATATTAGGAAGAGAAGTATCACTAAACCAAAAGTTAGTTGGTGACTTCTAAACCTTAAGTACTCAAGAGATTTTTCAATCGCATTTTTAGGATGGGATTTGGGGATCACACTACTCCTGTTGTGACCATGAGAGGAGGAAAACTACCTTATTTTTGTACACTACGACTTTCGTTCTCTCTATCTTTCTTCTTATGTGATCTATCACGCATGTGACAAGAGAGATAGAGAAAGTGTGGCACAATGCACATGGGTATAAAAGTATTTGTCTTCCTTTATAGAAATTATGTCATTATTTTCCTTCAAATATGGACATCCTATTTGAGTCAACGAATTAAATACCACTCTATAGCCAATCTTTTAAAACACATATTAATTGATGGAATATATTGTACTGCAGTTATAGTTTCTTCTAGTAAACCCTTGAGCCTTCTACTGAGTGTTGGGGTTGGATCTCGTCGTGACTGAAATAAAATAAAATGAAATAAAGCACACAGACAACAATGCCGAAATTGTCAACTCAATTTTGAGTCAATAAAAGACGCCACCATAGCCTACGCTTTATAACATATAGTTATATATATATATACTAATTAATTTGACGATAAATATATTTATATATATATATATATATATATTCATATGTAACGTAGATACACTTTGGGATTTTGAAAGAAAGATGAACTATGATCCCCCCAATGCCTCCTTTTCCTCCGGCGTGATGTCTTCAGAATGGCAAGAATCCGAAACCAAACTCACAAGAAAATCAAAGATATCGGTGCCCACGACGGCCGAGGCAACGTCGTCTTTGTGCAGTGTCCTTCTCTTCCCTTCCAGGGTTGTCATCCAAGACCTCCGTGTGAGTTCCTCTATGAACAGCTCACATGCCTTCGAGAACACAATTGGAGCCTCGCCAGATATCATCTTCACGTCCTCCCCGGACTTCTTCATGATCTTCTTGATCCTCGCCAAGGGCAATGAGTGGGGCCCAGTCCTCCCGGATATGCCTCCATGCATCATGAATCCTGAGTACCTTCCCGGTTGCCTCATTTCTATAAAAGTTCAACGTAGTATGATCGATCTTAAATGCAGAGATAAATATACTTAAATTATCTCAAAAACTATAAGTTTTGACGAAATTGTACGTCTTCCGCTCTATGGGACATGGAGGTTATATATGATAAGAGAGCAGCCGGCAGGGCGGGCCAGACTGCTTAAGCCGGCTAATTAAATCTAATGACCAAGTATATTGATTTGTTTGTGATAAACAATTGAGGACCTTCATTTTTTCAAACCATATAAATATATAATGGTACGTCACCTTAAACAATAAACAAGCATGCAATGGCATGCACAGGAACAGATGTTAACAAGGATCCTTGGCGACAAATTTGTGTATTGTGGCATGGCATGAAATAATGCTACACATACAAATAGATCATGGTTCGTTTTTAATTGTATTTTATTCAACTTGATGTTCGTTTTATGTTCGGCTTTTGAAGCACAATTCCAACTGTTCGATGGGTTGAGATTTGGTCTCGTTACTTACAGGATTGCCCCTACAGCTCATAGCTAGCTAGGTACATGCATATGGGTTTTGTTGAAATATGGTCTATATATATAAACATTTACTAGAAAACAATGCAATTTAAATTTATTGGGTTTGAATCTAGCCTTAACCGAATATAATGTTCGGTTGATATTTGGTCTACTTTTGTTGAATATATAATTGTAGCCTGTAGGCTTAGACTAGACAGTTAGACTATTGCCTCTCATATATAATATATATGTAGTTTAATAGTCGATGTTATTATTGAGAAAACAACAAAGCTAGTTTTGGTCGATTGAGTAGAGATATATTTTTTTATGTAACTGTTGCCTTTTTTTTTGTAGTATACCAACCATATTGGTCGATTGAGTAGAGATATACTCTTTTTACAAACCATTTTAATCTGGTTGAGAACCAATAATCAAAGTCCTTACACTGTTGAACAATGTAAAATCTGGCATCGGAAACTTGACAAAATAAAATAAAATTATTTATCCATTTTGTGTCAGGGCTGACGCGTAGAATTTAGACCCAAACAACAATATATAATGAATAATTTCACTATTAATAGCACCAATGCCCTTTTTTATAAGATGCCTAAACCTATTGGATTATGATACTCCTCAATTTATAGTGTCCTTCGGACTCTAATGTAAACAAAATTAGAAAAGAATTGAAAAAAATTAAAAAGAATGCCACATAAGTCCACCTACGTACCCACAATCCAAAATTTAGGAAAACGGAATGCCCACGGCTAGCTTTGAGGACCATCTTCGTTTACCTCCAATAGTAATTGGTGGTTTAGATTAACTTTAGGGTCGCTTAAATTCGACACTAAATTTTCTATTTCTTTTTTCACCAGCATATATAATATTAATTTTTTTCTTCATATTTTCTTTTTCTCATTACCTTCCTCTCCGAGATCACCCAGATAGCCATCTAAGAACGAAGAAGAAAAAAGCAGAGATAATATTGAAGCGTCTAAGAAGTTACTTCTTAGGCCTTCGATTTTCTCTTCTTCGTTGTTTGGGCGTTCTAATTCAATTCACTAAAAAGGTATTAGGGTACATTTAAGTTTTAAGTCCAAATCCCATGGCGGATGAAAAGCAAAAGGCTGCTCCTGAAAGTAAAACATCTCTCTCTCTCTCCCTCCCTCCCTCTCTCTCTCTCTCTCTCTTCAAATGATTTTCGACCGACTTCTAATTTTGAAAATATTTTGTTTTGAATGCAGAGGATACAAGTGCAATAAAAAAAGGTACTTTCCGGGCACCATCTTGAAGTTCTTTTAGTTTATATGCTCGTATTAATAATCTGTTTATGTTGTGATTGCACAACAGTTTTGTCAACTAAGTCATTGGGTTTAATCAAAGCATGGGAAGAAAGCGAGGAAAACAAAAGTAGACAACAAGTAAGACTCAAATCTCTATGCTAATTCCACATTTTGCCAAACCATTTTGGCAATTAGCACATTTCTCTATTTGACAGGAGAAACTTGGCACAATTGATTACATTTATTTTAAGAGCTTATATTTTTACTTTCCACATTTTCTAACAATAATGTATTGAAATTGTTGATTAGGACAAATAAAAAGCTATCTAATGTTGTTGCGTGGGAGCTCAGCAAGCAAGCGTATATTGATGCGCGACAGAAGAAGTTTGAGGTAATCAATAGGACTAACTCTAGATTCAAGGCTTTAATCTTTTGACAATAATAATAGAGCGTCAAAAGAAGTTTGAGATTGAAAATGAGTCCAGATATGATACCAACACATAACTTATGAAACGTTGTCATATCAGTTGCGATTCAAAACTTTGACGCTCGTCACTTATTCTCATAAGAATATTGTATTAATTAATTAGAAAGGGCCATTGATTATTGTTGCTTTTGAAAAATGTGACAGCGAAAACTAGAAAGGAAGAAGGCAATGTACGTAGAAAAGATGCAAAACAAAGTTGCTGAGATTCATAAGAAAGCAGACGAGAAAAGGGCGATGGTTGAAGATGTGAAAGAGGAAGAACGTACAAAGGTAGAAGAGAAGGCTGACAAATTCCGTGAAATTGGGCATGTACCAAAGAAAATCCTATGTTTTAACTTTTGAAATTTGTGTGTGCTTGTGTTTTTTTGTTTTGTTTTGTGTGCTTCACTCAATAGTTTTCAGTATAGAACATGTGAAATTTAATGCTAATGTTGGGCATATATTTATGTAACCCAATGCTAAAACATCTGTGGTACATTTTTATCTAATGAGATTTTGTATGAGCCAATCACACATAAAATTCGTCTTTTTCAAAAGAAATAATTAAGGTAGCCGATTTTATCAGTCTTGTATCAAATATCGATTCTTTGCCAAGCTGATGTGGTGCTGCTGATGAACTAAAACGACACCGTTTTACTGACTTCCCTCCCTACTAACACGTGACTTCGCATTTTATTACCACAAACAATTTGATTAGGCTTGGCATGTTTATTATTCTAGTTGGACTCGGAAAACTCATGAGATGGGAGAGAAGAAATATGTATGAGATCAACTAACCAAGTAAACATCAGAATAACTTCAATATATAACCAAGTAAACATTCACCATTCGTTCCAGAAAACGCAATGTCATTGGCTTCATCCTTGGAAGCGGTTGCCGTTGTCGTGGTCGGAAAGTTGAATGGTCCATGGGAGAAGCCGTGCAGGTCATCCTTGGGCTTGGGCAGCTTGACCTTGTAAAATTGTTGAAACTTGAACACCACAACCTCCATTTCCATGGCTTGATGAGAAACTCTCGAAGTTAATTCCTAGGTGCACTAATACTTTTCCCTATGTGATATAAGCAAGGGAATGAGTTGTTTAATTATTTTTACTGTCCTGAGCGTATTAGATGTCCAAATCGATTTCAAAGCCAGTCAAATATGGTTTCTGTTTCATAACTATTTTGTTCATGGATATTCAAGACGAGGAAATGTGATTTTGTACGAATATATCAATGTTGTTCTTCAAAAGTAAACCTAAATTTTGTCTACTACAAAATACAAGTTTTTTAAAATAAAAAAAATACAAACGATATAGGAATGGAAAATCGAACATAGAACATCGGATACGTGGGAATGCTCTTAACACATAACACATAATAAAGTGATACCATTAGGTAAACCATAACACATATAGTGAGATGAACGAAGCTATACATATATAGAAATTTTGCCTACATGTATTTGCCTTGGATAGCCTCAAAAGATGTTGAATATTTAATTAACTTTTTTTTGTTTATATTTAAAAATAAATTTTGGTAACCTTTTATTGGTTTGACAAATGCATGGTTGTATAATATAGGCTATAAATAAAATTAGGGTTTGATTCAAAAAACATCTAAAGATTCCTACGCAATCAAAATGTGTATATATATATATACAACTCATTCTAGCTACCAGCCATTTGATCAAGTTACATATATGATCTAAAAATAGTAATAATCCCATAATGAACAAGCTAAAACTTACCCTGGATCCTATTTCTGGAAAACTCAGTCAAACCAATCCGCCATTGAGTTATTTTAAGCTCCAAAACCAATGGAACTTTCTTCACGTGTCCTCCATACACCTTGGAACTTACCTTCTCCACTCATTTACCCATTTGATTTTGGACCTTTAATTTACTTTCCCCAACTACAAGAAAAAGGTGATAGTTGATGGGCAAAAATCAGAGTTAGTTCAATCTCAAATTGCAAGCAATTGGAGATTGAACTTCCAAGGTTTCCTGCTGAACGCTCATTAAATCTTGTTGCAAATTCTTTGTCTCCTATTAAACCATCTTTTCTGTTGAGCGATCTTGATTGATATCTTTGGGACAACAGGAAAAATGTCGTTCAGTGGAACCCAACAGAAATGCAAGGCCTGTGATAAGACTGTTCATTTCATTGACCAGTTATCTGCTGATGGTGTCACATACCATAGGCCCTGCTTTAAATGCAGTCATTGCAATGGACAACTTTCGGTAGGTTTACATACATTTGACTTTTTACCTAGCTAGCACCGTATTAACGTATTAACTGATTAGTGCTTGAATATACTTGCATATATTTTAATTTGAATGCTTTTTTAAATGTGTGTCTAGATTTATAATCTTACAACTTAATATGCCACACTTTGTAAAAGATATAGAGATGATGAATTCAGGGTGCATCTACCGAGCGAATTCTCCTTTAATGAGAATATATATAATTCAATGGATTGTGATCCATCTACTCTATAGTGGAGAATGGTGAAACATAGATCAAACAAAGACTATATTCATGTTTCCATTAAATGTGAACTCATATTGTAGAAAAATCCGGAGAATTAAGGGCCATATCAAATACGGGCTTGTAATTAAATTTGGTCTTCTAAATCAACTTGGTTTAGGGCTGAAAGAAATAGACAAGCTTTGGATGTAGGATGAGGCAGTTGTTTGCTTGTGTGTATTTTACAGATGAGTAGCTACTCCTCCATGGAGGGAGTATTGTACTGCAAGCCCCATTTCGAGCAACTCTTCAGGGAGTCTGGAAGTTTCTCTAAGAAACTTACATGTAAGATCCCTCTTCCCATTGCAAAATTATTGGTATATAAATCCATTTTCTCTCTCTCTCTCTTTTCTTCTTTTCTGATTTCCCATTTTGACCTATCAATGTTTCGTTCCATATGTTTGATGTACAGGTGGAAAGTCACAAACTGAATTGGTACACATTTTATACCCTAAACTCATTATTATATGCTTAATATTTCTTTTTTCGTGGTTTCTGCTAAAGCTTATACACATTATTCTTTATATGTACAGGGTAGGACCCCTAGCAAACTGTCCTCAATGTTCTCTGGGACTGTAGACAAATGTGCAGTCTGCACCAAAACTGTGTATCCACTAGAGAAGGTTTGAATCCCATATCTCCCCATTTCTCTCTCACTAATTAACATGTTGCAAAGTGACCACAAGGTATTTCGTTATGTAACACAATGCAAATTTGTTATCATGCACTTCAAAATTAATATTTCAAAGCGCTTAAAAATTAGGTAAATGATAACAAGTTGAGAGTGGGAATATTATTTCAGTTGTAATTTGATGCATCGTGTGATTAATAGTCTGTGGTTTGGCTTTAGATTTGGTGAATTCTAAGACATATTTTGTAATACAGGTTACTATGGAGGGAGAGTTTTACCACAAGTCATGCTTCAGGTGTAATCATGGGGGTTGCTTCCTCTCACCCTCAAACTGTGCTGCTCTGGATGGCATTCTTTATTGCAAGCACCACTTTGCCCAACTGTTCAAGGAGAAGGGCAGCTACAACCACCTCACCAAGACTGCTTCAGTCAAGAAAAATGGAGCTCCAATGCCCGAAATGAAACCCGAGGAAGCCGATTCAGGGAAGGGACAAGAAGTAGCAGAAGAACCAAAACAAGAAGCAGAGGCAGGAGAAGCAGAAGCAGCACAGGATTCAGCCCCACAGGGGCAATCATGAAAATATGCACCACCCAATGCCATGTTCCACTAAGCTTGTGGTGTTGGGATTTTTGCTTTAATGATTTGTAAAACATGTTCAAAGGAAAACAGAATTTCTGCTTTTTCTTTGTTGATCATTTGAATCGATGTCTTGTGGAAGTTGAAATTTCAATGCAATTAAAGTAAATCAAATTTAATCCTCGATCTTTCTTACAATTAAAGGCCCAAGAAGCTATATTTGGTTGGGTCAATGGAATTTGTTGTACTGGGCTCGAAAGTTATGGATCACATACAAACTTTATTTTAAAATATATAATTATATTCAAGTATCGAACTCCAATCATTTATTTTTCAACTCTTAATTTATAGTTGATTTTTGAAAAACATATATGCAAATTCACAGAGCGGTTAATCCAATTCAGATATTCACGATCAAAAAATACTAAGAGCATCTCCACCCATAAGGGCTAAGTCTAGGACAAGGGCAAGCAATGGCTGCCACTATTCATGTGAATAGTGTCAACCTTGCCATTTGTGGTTCCACTCATGAGAGCAACTCCAGCGAGGCCCCTTTGCCTCGGGTTGGGGGATTTTTTCACCAAAAATGGGTTCCAGCGGAGAGCCCAGGCAGGGGGGGAGGTGTGGGACCCACCAACTCGGGCTGGCTCGAAGGCAACTTCAGCCCGAGGTCCAAAACGAGGGATGCTGATGTCAGCGCCACAGTACCGCTACAGTATCTGCTACAGTACCCCCACTGATTTGATTTTTTCTGTTGCCACGTGGCGTCGTCTGGGCTCTCCGATCTGATTTTTTCCTCCAATCCAACGGCAGCCAATTTTTTGAAATAAAATACTAGAAAAAATTCGGAATTTTTTTTTAAAAATACCCAAAATTAATGAATTTTTTTCTATAAATACCAGCCTTTTTTTTTAATTTATTTGAAATTTGAAATTGAAAATTTTATCCGATTATGAGATATGAATAGTATTGACACGTAGAAACCCGAAAATATTATCCAAATTAATTATTGTGGTAAAAAAAAAGTTGTGAAAAAAATAAAAAAATGAATAGTAATTGCCCTTTGCCATGGCAACGGGTGGAAACGGAAAATACTATTTGCAAGGGCAACTACTATTCACGTGAATAGTGGTTGCCCTAGCTCCCCCCTTAGAGCAACTCCACCCATTTGCCCTTAGCCATGGCAAGGGGGAGAGGTAGGGCAGCCACTATTCACGTGAATAGTGGTTGCCCTTGCAAAATCCGAATTTTGTGTTTCCACCCGTTGCCCTTACTAAGGGCAGTTACTATTCATTTTTTTGTTTTATTCACAACTTTTTTTACCTCAATAATTAATTTGGATAATATTTACGGATAAGATTTTTGGGTTCCTACGTGTCAATACTATTCATATCTCATAATCAGATAAAATTTTCAATTTCAAATTTCAGATAAATTAAAAAAAAAGGCTGGTATTTATAGAAAAAAATTCATTAATTTTTGGGTATTTTTTAAAAAATTGTCCGAATTTTTTCCAGTATTTTATTGCAAAAAAATTGGCTGCCGTTGGATTGGAGGAAAAAATCAGATCGGAGAGCCCAGACGACGCCACGTGGCAACAGGAAAAAAAATCAAATTAGCGAGGTACTGTAGCGATACTGTAGCGGGGGTACTGTAGCAGATACTGTAGCGCTACAGTAACCCCCCTCGTTTTGGACCTCAGGCAGAACTTGCCTTCAGGCCAGCCCGAGGAGGTGGGTCCCACACCCCCCCCTGCGGGCCTGGGCTGCTCCGCTGGAACGTCATTTTTTTTTCTTCCCGCCCTAGCCTCGGGCTGGGCTGCAGCGGTGGAAAAGCTCTTACTATGGCTAAGGGCAAATGGGTGGAGTTGCTCTGAGGGTGTGAATAGTAGTTGCCCTAGCTCCCCCCTTGCTATGGCTAAGGGCAAATGGGTGGAGTTGCTCTGAGGGCTAAGTCTAGGGCAAGTCTAAGGCAATTACTATTCACTTAAATTTATTTTTATTTTTTATACTTAAACCATTGATTTTGATAAGTTTTTCGGATAAGATTTTCAATTCCCAAGTGTTAATATTTATCATAAAGTCCTCACCTAAAAATCAAGATAACATTTTCGGATAAAATTTTGAAATTAAATTGGTGTGGAAAGTGAATAATATTTGTAGGTATGTATAGAAAAAATTTCCAATATTTTTTTATATTTTTTTCAATTTTTTTTAGCCAAAAATTGGACAACCATTGGATTGTGCAAGATTTTTGATTGGAGGCTCCAGGAGAAGCCACATGGCTTGTAACCATTGGGCAATGTGGCCTGGTGGGTCCAACAGTAAAAAAATTGAAAATCAGCTGCTGACGTTAGCAGCCCGAGGGCAACAGCCCAGTCAAAATCTGCCCTTGGACTTGCTAGGGGGGCCTTTTGCCCAGTTTAATAGCAACGCTGGAGCTGCTCTAAACCTCATTCAGATAGGCCCTTGAAAGGAGAAGGGCTCCATTTTCAAGTATTATATAATTAGAGTGAAGGAAAAATTAGAAAGAAATTAGACTGATAATTGCTTCCCATGGAATATATAACACTAACTAATTCTATACTACCAATACCAAAAAAAGAAAATTATTTGTTGCATAATTACTGGGGGTGGTGAATGTGTAATTGCTTCCCATGGAAAAAGTTACAGTGGGCAGAAATTCACAATTACGATTTTGTTAAAAGATTATTAAATTGCCTTCCTTAAATAAATAAAAAAGATAATTAAATGCCACGTTGGTACAAAATCTCCAAGAGCTCACTCTGTCACTCAATCACCCTCAGTTTCGCAGCTCAAAGCCTTTACTCAGTAATCTTATGATTATCTGAATGGCCTCCATTAACGCTCTCTGAATTCTGAAGAGCGTGGCTGCTCCCTTATCTCTCAAGAGATGGACGGTTTCTCTCTCACCCTCACCTCCAACGCCACCTCTTTCTTTCCTACTTCAACTAGAATTCCTCTACTTTCATCCAGAACATCAAGAAGACTAAAAACCCAAATTTTCCCGCCGAAGAATACTAAATTCATTGTTTTCAGTTCCAAAGAAGAGCCGAAGCTAGACCCACTGGACCAAATGGAGCTGAAATTCGGTCGCTTGATCGGCGAGGACCCCAAACTTACTTTAGCCAAGGTGTGTATGTGTTGTTTGTGTATTATGGCATACCAGTTGTTTGCTAAAAGTTGCATATGAACTTGTCATATTGGTAGAAAAGCAAACCCAGAAGTTAGTTATATTGAAAGTGAGAAGAGTTCTCTTCTCTGTATATATATGTGTATGTATGTATTTTTATGAGTGGTTCTGTTGAAATGTAATTTTTTTGAGAATATCATTATTTTGTGTTGTAGATATTGGGTAGAAAAGCAAACCCAGAAGCTACTTATATGGAAATTGAGAAAAGTTTTTACAAGAACAAGGGTAAATTGATTGAGATAAAGGAGGTACCTTTTGATGGGTCTAAGGAAGTTCCAACCACCCAAGAAAAGGAGGTACCTTTTGATGGGCCCAGGGAAGTTCAGTCATCTAGTTCCTTGGATGGTTTGAACTTGGTTCGACCCGTGCCAAAGAAAGGAGTCAAATTTGAAGTGGATTATAAGCCAAGAGTGTCCGAGATTAAGAACCTGAGACGCCCAGTTGCCAAGCCTGTGGAACGTACTAAAAGTAGTGTTCCTAATGTTATTTTGAGAAAGCCAACTTCGCATTATGAGGATGACGATGAAGATATGTCGTCGAGGTTGAGAATAAAACCGAATTTATCGGTGAAGATGAGAAATGAGCAACCAAAGGAGATGTTTAGTGATATGACATTGTTGAGAAAGCCCCAAGCTGTGAGTGTTGATAAAAGTAGTGAAAATAAAAAAGAGCAATCTAGTGATGTAGACAGGAATGTCATTGGTGATGCAGAATTGGAGAAGTGGAGAGAAGAAGAAAATGATGAAGTTAGTGGTTTTACTCTATTAGAAAAGCCCATAGCAATTGGCGTCGAAACAAAGAGTGAAAATGATAATGAGCAACTTGAGAATCAAGAATCCAGTGCCACTGATAATGTTCAGGATAATAATAGATTGCAGGATTTGTCTGGATCTACTGCAACTAGCAAAGGAACAAGAAACAGTCTTGAAGAATCCAAGGATGACTCCCTTATAGGTACTACTCTATGTTGCGTTATAGAATATATTCAGCTAGGATTGTCAAATTAATATTGTGCTTGAAATTTTAAGGATTACAGCAATATGAGCAGAGCACTATGGAGTCCAATGAAGAGGTATCTGCTGTGAGTGAACTGTCCGATACAAACTTACCTGTTTCTAATGTTGAGTTGTCTACAGACACTGCACTACAAGGAAAACCGAAAAGGTGAGTAAAGTCAGTCCTAAAATTTGTTTGTCTCCACCATTAAGTTTCTATTTTGTCTGATTAATAGGTTGTTTTCTTACAGATTTGACCTACCTGTGAAAGAAGCATCTGTTAAAGAAGCAGAAAGTAATCTTGTTGAGTCTGGGAATCTCCTTTCTACATCACCCATTGAGGTCAGGGTATTTCTTACTTTTGACTTAGTTATTTCCCTAATTTGATTTATTTCCTGTTACAAAGGCCTCATTCTCTATAAATATTACCATAGGGACATGAAGATGCTGATTGGGTTATGGCTGAAAATCTGGTTAAGACAGGAGATAGGGGAGATGTAGAACTGATAAGTGCTAGCACCAGAGGTTTTGTTGTAAGTACACTTCAGGCATTCTTCCTAGGCTTTAAAATGTAATGCACTTCTTTTATTTTTTGTTAACCATACATCTTTGCATTTCACCTTTCTGAATTTGATTTAACCTTTGTGACAGGTATCTTTTCGCTCTTTAATAGGATTTCTGCCATACCGTAATCTTGCTTCCAAGTGGAAGTTCTTAGCTTTTGAGTCATGGTTGAGACGGAAGGGCTTAGACCCATCATTGTACAGGCGAAATTTGGGGATTATTGGAAGTTATGATATTGTGGACAAGAATGCTCTTCTTAATCCAAGCCTGGATCCTAATATAGTTATAAAAAACGACGGAGAAGTTTCACCAGATATGAAATTGGAAGAACTACTTATGATTTATGACCAGGAGAAAATCAAATTCTTGTCATCATTTGTTGGCCAGGTTTGAAGAAAGTGAACTGCAATTTGAAAAATGACAGTTGCATTTGGAAACTCTATTGTCACTATTTTATTCCTTTTAATGAATATTTATTATTTAAAACTTACTTTTGTAGAAAATAAAAGTAAATGTGGTGTTGGCCAACAGAAAGTTTGGGAAGCTTGTATTTTCAGTGAGGCCGAAAGAGAAGGAAGAGTCGGTTGAGAGAAAAAGAAGTCTCATGGTGAGAGGCCACATCCAGTTGTGATGTATCTGGCATGCTGTCTGTTTATCTTTTGCATCTATTCTTTAAATTACACTGTTTGGTAACAATTATTTCCATTTTCTAAATTCAAGAGTTTTTCATGTTCAATATTTTCTGAAGACTAAATATTTTTGCTTTACGAAGGGTGGTGAAAACCACATTTTTTTATAGTAGCTTTTTGAATATGACATGCTAAGGGGTTTACTTTTTGTGGTTGGAACTTGGAAAGGAAATTTATCTTTAAATGACTGTTGTATATGATAGATATGCTAGAATTATATGTGAACCCTTATCCTTTATTCCCGAAATTGGGATTTATTATTTCATCCAAATAACTGGGAAGTAATCTCATCCTTGATAGGTGTCTGAATGCCATGTTCTTTCTAAAGCTTTTTGAGCATTTAGCAAAACTGCACTATGTAGTCTTAATCTCTTATGGAAATTCTTATGGCAGGCCAAACTTCAAGTTGGGGATGTCGTGAAATGCTGCATCAAGAAAATTACTTATTTTGGTATTTTTGTTGAGGTAACTGAAAGGTTTGCCGCTCATTTTCTTGGGAAGTTTTTTTACTTTAGTGTTCTGATTACAGTTTGGTTCCATGATGAGGATTTTTGTATTTATTAATCTAATCAAAACTATTTCTTGATGGACTGCCCCTGGTACCATCCGGTTTGAGCTTCATGCTTTGTGGTATAATCACTGAACCATTTTTCTAATCAAAACTGATCCTAATTAAAATGATGTAGGTTGAAGGAGTGCCTGCATTAATCCATCAGACAGAAATATCTTGGGATGCCACTGTGGATCCTTCTTTATACTTCAAAGTTGGTCAGGTAATTTGGTGAATGATCAAACTGTAGCATATTTACTATTGTTTACTAAGTCTATGCCTCTGAAGTTTGAGACTAGGCCAGTAATGAAGGCACGATGAACATATATCTTGGTTGAGTAAAAGCTGTCTTATATCTTCAATTATTCTGTGCTTTTCTCTTGGCTGAACCCTATGAAATGCTTTATATTCTTTCCATTTCTATAGCCTACTTTTCTCTATGTATCTTGTTATACACGTAAAGAAACTCTTTCTGATCTCAGATTTTGGAGGCAAAAGTTTACCAACTGGATTTTTCACTTGAACGCATCTTTTTATCATTAAAGGAGATTATGGTAATGTATATCTTATACCTTTTGTGCATACAAATTTCTAATTTTGATTGAGATATGCAATTACAAAGAAAGATCAATTCCTATCTGTGGCAGCCAGATCCATTGATGGAGGCCTTGGAGTCTGTGGTTGGTGATCATGATAGCGTGGATGGGCGATTGGAAGCAGCACAAGCAGATATTGTTTTGTTTTTTTTTTTTTTTTTTTTTTTTTTTTTTTTTCCCCATGTTGAGTAGGGCTAATAGCTGGTTACATCATCATAGTTGTACACTACACTGAGCATACTTGTGACCTGTAATTATTAAAATCATCTTTAGTTAAGAATAATAGGAAACATATACATGACAATGAAACAGTGAAAAAAGAGGCTTTATTGCTGGTAAAGTGGGAGGTTTTCGAGAATTTTTAGTTGCGAGGGTTTAAATCAGCAAGAAGCCAAGAACTTATTTTGTTTAAGATGCTTGGACTAGGGAAAAAAAAGTTAGTATGTATGTAGTTTATTTTGCCTCTTGTATATATACCTGCATTAGTAAAGGTGCCTCAGAATTTTGTTCAGAAAGCTATTAGTTGTTGCCAATCTAATTTATCTCTTTGATCATCAATCTAAGTTCATTCATCATATGTTGATCTCTTTGGTGGATTGATAGGGGGGACATAAACCTATATGATACATATGTAAATTATCTTCTAACTGATTGAATGGATTATGTAAATTATGCTTCCATTGCTAATTCATATTATCTAATTCCATGGTTTTTTGACAGTGGGTTGCTGTAGAATCTCTTATAAAAGAGCTGCAACAAACTGAAGGAATCCAGTCTGTATTAAAAGGTCGTTTTTTCTTGAGCCCGGGCTTAGCTCCAACATTTCAGGTATGAAGATCTAGATTTCTTGGATTCAGTTAGGTAG